GGGAACCTTGGCTTCCTCCATCACTGGAGCAAGCAAACCTCCTGCTCACTTCAGCTGCGTGGCTGCCGGCCGCCATCTTGGTTGGTAGTTAATTTGCATATCTCGCTGATTAGCCAATGGGAAGCATAGCAGAGGTACGGTTAATTGCCCTTTTTGTCTTTTATTAGATAGGATAATAAAAGGGTAATGTGCAAATTGACCCCAAGGGCGGAACTACCAGGAATGACTGGTTGCTATGATGTGCACTGACCACCAGGGGGCAGACGCTCAACGCAAGAGCTGCCCCCTGGTGGTCAGTGCGCTTCCACAGGGGGAGCTCCGCTCAGCCATAAGCTGGGCTGAAGGCTGCGAGTGCAGCGGGGTGGAGGGAGCCTCTCCCGCCTCCTCGGCAGTGCTAGGGATGTCCGACTGTGGGAGCGGGACTAAGCCACAGTCGGACATCCCCCGAGGGGTCCCGGACTGTGAGAGGATGCCGGCTGGGCTAAGGGACCCCCCTGAGTGCATGAATTTTCATGCATCGGGCCTCTAGTATATAGATAAGGAAGCTATCTAAGTTACTAGGGTTTTGACAGAAAGGCCCAGGAGCTAAGGTGAATAGGGTTCTGCTCCCACTGGCCCCAAATGGAACAATTTAGGCATTGTTAAGAAAAATAACTACAATGGATTGAAACATCACATATGTACAGATCCATGATTTAAAAATAATGCCAAAACAGACAAAGTAAGTGGTAACCACTGGAAGAGGGAAGTGAACCAACTAATTATATTAAAAACTTTACCAAAAAAGGGAAAGCATCAAGTGTTTATCTTGCCTTTCCTATATAGATAGTACCACTGGTTAACCAAATAGCTGATGACAAGTTCCTCCTTAAAAAAGGATTCCAGTCATTAATAAGTAAGGAAGAACAGAATGCTATCATTTAGAAAGCCCAATGAATGCTGCTAACATCACACACAAAAAACCACAGACATTATGGGCCTCTTATAGGAAGAACACAATACCATCTAAGCTGTTCAAGCATATAGATACAGTTACCACTTCTAGAAAATGCAGTGAAACCTCGACAAAACAGACTAATTCGGGTGAGGGAGTGTCTGTTAAAGCTGAAAGTCTGTTATATGATAAAGTATGTTTTCTGAATGTGTATGTTAAAAATTTGACAAATTAGTTAACCTGTTTTTACTTATGTAGACATGTTTGTGTAATTAAAAATAAGTGTGTATGAAAAGTTTAATTTAAAAGAAGTTTTCTATACGTATTTCTATATTACAGTAATTGTTAAATTTATACGGAATAGGTCTATAAGTGCGTGCATTTACCAGTCACCTTGAGTAAACAAATGACTACATCTAGAGTGTAGCTTAGTGTATGTGGGAACATGGGGGGCATAAGTTAAAACTGCTGCAGAAGCCCTGGCTGGTTTGGCTCAGTGGATAGAGCGTCAGCCTGCAGACTGAAGGAACCCAGGTTTGATTAGAGCCAAGGCACATACCTTGGCTGCAGGCTCAATCCCTGGCCCTCGTCAGAGCTTGTGTGGCAGGCAACCAATCAATGTGTCTCTCTTACATTGATGTTTCTCTCTCTGTGTTTCCCCCCCTCCCTTCCATTCTCTCTAAAAATCAATGGAAAAATATCCTTGGGTGAGGATTAACAAAAAACTAAAACACAAAAACAAACAAAAACTGCTGCAGAATGTCCAATGACAACATAACCAATTACCATGAGCAATGCGGTGTGATCACATGCTAATCACTCGCTGAACATTGTTCATGAGCAGTGACTCTTAGATTTAAATATGTAGACTACAGTTGTAGATATGTAATATTTACTTATGTTAGTGAAATTACTAGTGCTTTTTCCAACATATGGTTTATTCACTAAAATTTGTAAAAACAGTGAATTACTAACAAAAAACTCGTTAATTATAAGCAAATCTTGGTTAAAAGCATTTTAAAATTAATAGGATGTTAATTTTCACATATGACATATGGACTGGAAATTTTGTCTGTTAAATCTGAGGTCCGTTAAACTGAGGTCTGCAAATGAGGGTTTACTGTGGGAAACTATGTAGCACAAACCACCTGACTTGGTCATCAAATAAATGGTGTGAAACAAGAAAAAAGATGTTTGTGGAAGCTATACATTAAAAGATTTTGGAGACATATAAACTAATCAAAATGTGTGAACCACATCTGAAACCTGATTTTACATACAATGCAAAAACAAAACTCATTAAGTATGGTATGATCCAGCAATTTGACTTCCATGCATATATTCAAAAAAATTGAAAGCAGGGTCTCAAAGAGATATGCATATACATCCATGCGCATAACAGCATTATTTGTAATCAATCACCAAGAGGTGGAAACAACCCAAATGTCCATTGACAGGTCAGAGAATAAACAAAATGTGGTCTATATACACAATGAAGTATTTTTAACCTTAAAAGAAAGGAAATTCTGACACATGCTAAAACCTGGATGAACCTCAAAGATATTATGCTAAGTGAAATAAGCCAATTACAAAAAGATAAAACCTATATGATTGTACGTATATGAGGTATCTAGAAAGTCAAATCATAAAAACAGAAAGTAAAATGGTGGTTACCAGGGACTGGGAGGAGAGGGGATGACAAGTTGTTGTTTAAGGGGTAGAGTTTTAGTTTGTAAGATGAAAAATTTTATAGACTGGCTATATAATAGTGTGGATATACTTAAGGCTACTGAACTGTACACTTAAAAATTGTTAAGTTTTATGTTGTGTACTTTACCACAATTAAAAATAAAAAAAATCCATTATGTGTGAATATAGATACAAAAACCTCTAGAAAATACTAGCAAAACAAATGAAGCAACATATTAAAAGAATTATACACTATCTTCAAGTAAGATTTATCCCAGAAATGAAAGGTTAGTTTAATATCCAAAAATCAATCAACGTAATAGACAGTAATAAAATGAAATACAAAATCCACATGATCATCTCAATAGACCCAGAAAAAGCATTTGACAAAATTGAATACCTTTTCATGATGAAATACTCAACAGTCTTGTAACAGAGGAAACTTTGTCAACTTGCTAAAGGGCATTTTCATAAACCCTTTATATATTATGCTAATTAAAAGAAGCCAACTGGATGTGAGGGCGATCTGGCTGCGACATCTGTCACCCCATTGATCGCCAGGGTTGATTCGGCTGATCTGGCTGGCTAGGCGGGTGTCCCCCTCCTCCCTCACCGATCCATGTGCTTCCCTCCCGAAGCTGCGTGCTCGGTCGAAGAGGATGACCTTCCCCCCCGAGGAGAGGACCGGTCTTCGGTCAAGGGTATACGAGTAGCTGCGCTCCCCTGCTAGAACCTCCAAACAAGCTCTCAAGAAGCCAATTACAAAGACCAAACTATATGATTCCTTCATATGAAAGGTCCAGAATAGTAAACTTATAGAGACAAAGTAGATGAGTGGGTGCCTAGGGCTGGGCCAGGGGAGATTGGGGAAGGTATGAAGGAAGATAGGTATAAAGTTTCTTTTTGGGGTGATGAAACATTCTAAAATCAGATAGTAATGAAGGTTGTAAAATTGTGATATACTAAAAACAATTGAAGTGTAAACTTTAAAAGGGTAAATTTTATGGTATGTGAATTACATTTCAATACAGTTAATTCTAAAATTTAAATATCATTAATATATGAGACAACTGGAAGTTTCAATACTGTTATTTGATAATATTAAGGAATTACTTGTTATTATACTTGGATGTGATACTGGTATTGTGATTTTGTTTAGAAGGAAAAATACTTCTTATCTATTTGGGATACATATTAAAATATTTATAGACAAAATTATATGACGTCTAGATTTGCTTCAAATATGGAGAGTAGGTGGCAGCATAGATTAAACAATATGGCAAATGTTGCTGGACCTCAGTACTCAACATACTAGTAGTGTTAATTATATTGTCTACTTGTGTATATTGGAAATTTTTTATAATTTAAAGGTAAAAAAAGGCACTTACTAGGTCGTATATGTCAATTCACTTCAGTAAGTTTAATGCTAACATTCCACAATGGCTTACTATAAAAAGTTATCTTAACATTAACTCTAAAACTCCATGATTCCCCTGTGATCTTGAAACATTATTCAGAGTCAGTGTGGAATTTCTATGATTTTTCTTGTTGCAATTTAAGTTCTTATATAAAAGAGAAAGGCATTTTGCCACAGCTGTGTCACAGAGCAGGTCTATCAAGAGTCTCTAAGTCAGGGACTCTCTCATTCTCAGCATTCCCCCTGACTAAGTAATGCAGGGCAAGTTCCTCTGAGCCTGTCTAAACACTCAAAAATTATCATCTAGAGTGGTGTTGACAAACATTTTCTGTAAAAGACCAGATAGTAAATATTTTAGGTTTTTCAGAACATATGGTGTCTGTAGCAACTTCTCAACTTTGCTATTATAGTGTGAAAGCAGGCATAAGTAATATATAAACAAATGAGCATGGCTGTATTCCAATAAAACTCTATTTACAAAAACAAGTGGAAGGCCAGACTTGGCTCACAGGCAGTATTTGACAAACTCCTTTGTTAGGAGTTATTAGCTCCTGGCAGGATATTAAAAAGCTATGAATATGGTTTAGAATATACACTGATAACAAAAATCATCATGTTGAGAATGCATGAAGTACAGTACTTACAGGTGTCTGGATCATCATGGCTCGTTGATCTCTCATTGTTCTTACAATGTCTAGTGGATAAACTGGTTGGTTGCATTCAATGAGACACATGGCTGTTTCCATAGTAATCAGAACCCCAGTTCTTCCAATCCCAGCACTGAAAAAGGCAAATATGGGGCAAGGTATTACTGATACTATTCTGTTAAACTTCGTGGATTTTGTGCAGAAAATTAAGGTTTCGAATCATAAAACAGAACAATTTGATTTAATGTTTAATATCATGAAAGTAGCAAGCCAACTAGAAATATTTTCAAAATTGACAAAAATCTCACACAATACAGATTAAAATGGTTTATATCAACACTATCCCCCATATTTAGCTGTAAAAAATACTATTTTAAAAGTTACATTTCAGTTTTTAAAATATGAACAAGATATAAAAGCTTATTGGAGCAACTCCACTTTAAAATGAAAAATAATAGAGGAAGGGATCCAAGATGGCAATGGAGTAAGTAGAAGATACACCCAGGACCTAATTGGAAGTAGAACTAAAATACAGAATTATAACCTGAGTCACCAACTGAAGACTAGCTGAATAAAAGGCTTATAACCAAAGATTTACAGAAGAAGCCAATGGAGACTGGTAGGAAGTGCGGAGGTGTGTGTGGAGGTGTGAAAGGGCTGGCCCCAATCCCACAGGCAGTGGCTGAGGTTCTGGAGGAATATCTCAGCTGCAGGGTGTTTCCCCTGATAAGCGTGGGATCTCAAGTCCAACCCTGGCTCCCCAGCCCAAAGCACCAGAGCCTGGAAGAGGCGCACACATAACATCTGGTTGTGAATGGCAGCAGGATTTCTGTTTCCATCAGAAAGAGATGGAGTCCATGGAGTCCCCTAAAAACTCAGGAGCTGTCTTAAAGGGCCAACATGCATAATTTTGTTTATAGCCACTCACCCTAGCTCTGGCCACTCACCTAGGGAGGGAAAAACAGATGAGTCATGTGAGGAGAGACTGGGGTTTGTGGCTCTGGGGACAGAGCTGAGGGAACAATTGCTAGGACCCCCTGTGCTAAGTCACTGTACTGCATGCAGATGCCATCTTTCTTGGGTGGAACATGCCTCTCCATGCAGCATCAGCTTGGGGAAAGCAATTGCCCCACCCTCTGGTCTTCCTGTTGAACCACCTACGGAGCTTCTCCCCTGCTAAGGAGTCAATGGCTTGGGCCATGAGAGGTCTGGCCAATTCAAGGGATGTCAGTGATTGAGTTGTATGACTTAGGGGTGGGGGCCATTCCCCCCCCCCCTTTCCTGTGATCCTGACCAGCACCTTCCCCTCACGGTAGATCCTCTAGCCCCACTCTCTAAGCTCCTGGAGTTCCCACCCTCTTGACTCTTGGTGGTTCCACTCTGCTGAGGTCTGGGCAGAATCCAGGACAGTCTGAATTGTGTGGCTCTGGGGTAGGGGCCAAACCCTCCAACTTCCCCCAAACCTGAACAGCACCCCCCCCTCCCCCATCTCTTGACTCCCAGTGGCCCCTTCCTGCTGAGATCAGGCTCCTGGCAGAATCTGGGGCAGACTGAGTTGCAATGGCTCTAGGAAAGAGGAAAATTTCCCCTCATATACTCGACTGGTGCACACCTTCCCTTCACACAGCCAGCTTCAGACAACACCAGAGCAGGATTCAATTAGCTTCATAAGTAGCATATCTAAAGGTAGGTCTTGGCAGGCAGCAAACCCTGCTGAGGTGAACTCTACTTAATGTGGTTAGCACCTGCCGGCAGCCCATACACTGTGGTTAGGGTTGATCTTCACAGTCAGTCAGCCTGAGGGTTGATCCCACACATGAATGGGCCAATAGCAATCAAAAATCAATTACAACAGGAGGTCTTATCCTGTGATGGTAATGGGTAGGTAGGGCCATTCCAAGAGAGGTGAGAGAACTCAGCAAATGTGCTGAGAGGGGCCATAGGCCAGCAAGGAGTACCTTGCTGGGAGGGGAAAAACTAAATCTAATGCCTACATTATTGCATTTCATCAAGTCTAAGATACCATCAATTGTATAACAAATCCCATTTTCAGAGATGTTAAACTGTAAAAATGACAAGCTTCTAACAGTCAGTGCAATAAAGTATTTTTACTTCTTATTATAAACTTTCTGCCAATCATATTGGAACATACCCTTTGCTTTCTACCTTCAGAGCACACTTTTGAGTTCCTTCTAATTATAGTAAAAGTTACAACTAAAGGACAAAATAAAATACATACTCCCCTTTAAAAATGTCAGCTATTTAAGCATAGAAGACAGAAAATAGAATACCTGCAATGAACAACAACAGGTTCTTCCTTGCCGGCCCTCTTATTTCGTACGTGACAAACAAAATCCAGAAAGTCACTGGAATCATCAGGGACACCATGGTCAGGCCAGGCTGTGTACTGGATCTGAGTGAGTTGACGACTCTCATTTTTCTAAGTGTAAAAGAAAAATTATGCACTTTGATTTAGGAATTATCTTTAAAATATAAATAAATATTCATATAATTTTAATTTTAGAAGAAAAGTAAAAGAAACTACTCCCACTACCTCTCCCCAAAGTAATACATATGCACAATAAAACCCAAAATTTCAATAAAAAAGAAAGAAACCATTTTATAGAAACAGTTGTATCCATTTAAGTATCTGCTGCTGGATCATTCCTCTTCTTATAACTCAATTTCTATATTTGCAAAGTATGTTTCAAGATGATAATCAAGTAAACAGGCAAAGACAAGTTCTAGAAAAACATTTAAAGAAAACTAAAGAACTGCTGGAGGAACAAATATGGTAAAATAAAAACATTTTTTATAAACAAAGTTGAGCTAATCCTAAAAAATAAGTGAAATCATGGAAATCAGGAAAATAAATTTTCAAAATGAATGTAGATTAAAAACTGAAGATAAAAAAAAACACAAAGTCAAATCGGGGCTTAATTCTTTTTGGGAGCCAGGAGTTGGTAGAAAAGATAATAAGATTTTGGATTTATACATCTTGACTCTGTCTGTTAAGGTATTTAATATTTCAGAACCTCACTTTCTTCAGTTAAAATGAAACAACATCTACACCTCAAAGGGAGAGTCTTATGTTGAAAGGATTCTAGAACAGAAACTGCAAATCTCCCAATCAGCTGTTTGGAATCTTATGCTCAATAATAGATAGTTATAGTCATTCAACAATATGAAATCTGGTTACTGTCATTTACATTAAAGGGCATTTCCAGAAAAGACCATGAAAATAAAAATTAATTAAGAAAATGACCGATATGCCCAGCTGGTGTGGCTCAGTGGTTGAGTGTCAATCTATGAACCAGGAGGTCATGGTTCAATTATGGTCAGGGCACATGCCAGGATTGCAGGCTCGATCCCCACTAGGAGGCGTGCAGGAGGCAGTTGATCAATGATTCTCAACATTGATGTTTCTATTTCTCTCTCCTCTCCCTTCCTATCTGAAATCAATAAAAATATATTTGAAAAAAAGAAAGGGACTGATAAAAGAATTCCATGATACCCCAGTATAATGTAATAACTAATTTTTCAGAATCCTTAACAATATAGAATGAATGAAAAGCATCTAATATATATAGACTACTTTTGATTACTATTAAAAAAAAAAAAAAGAATTTGCCCTGGCCTGTGTTTCTCATTGGTTAGAGCGTCAGCTTGTGCACTGAAGGGTCACAGGTTTGATTCCTGGTCAGGGCACATACCTGGGTTGCAGGTTTTATCCACAGCATGGGCCAGGGAGAGTGAGGGAGGCAACCAATCGATTTATCTCAAGACACATTGATGTTTTTCTCTCTTTCCCTCTCCCCCCTCCCCCCTTCTACTCTCTCTAAAAGTCAATGGAAAAAATATCCTTGGGTGAGGATTAACAAAAAAAAA